GAATATTGTTGCCCAGGGTACAGCGAAGTGTTAATCCGGCCCTGATTGGGATGTATAAAGGAAAGGTGCGCAGGAACATGCGTGCACACAGTTTTATACATGTGATGTTTTTGGTTCGGCACACTTTTCTAAATTTGTCCGTACGTCAACTTTTGGTGCGAAAGCTGCGCAATCCTTTATGCATGAGGCCCCAGGAGAGTCAAGAGGGACTTTCCCAACTGTTGAACCTGCTTAGAAACTTTTTTTGGTTTGTTGTTGGAAGTACGTTCTGAATAAAGTGAGACTCAAAATATTCATCGTCTCGTCTTTGACAGACTTCCACATTATACCAATTGTTGGGATGTATAGATAAAAGAATGATGTGACTGATAGTTCAGTTAGTTTCTCTCCTCTACTTTCAATGCAGTTCTCCCTTTTCCAAATCAGCCTTGGTGTAGGCAGAAAGCAGCAAGGCCAAATGTAAAGACTGGACAAAATAAGCACAGCAATTAATTTATTTGTCCCATTTGTTTAACAGTTTCATATTTGATCCACATGTGACATCATGTTTTCTTCTATGCATGCAGGTAGTCTCAGGACCATAGACTCTTCTCATTAGGGTCTAATGGGTGCTACCGGCACCCATTAAAACACTACCGCCCTACCTTGTTGTTTATTCTTGCAGGGAGCAGTCACACACTAATGTCATATTTGTCATTTTATTGAGCCCCACCTCACATGTTGGCCAGCTGTCACTACTTCCCTCTGCGGCCAGAGGTGGGCTTCCTTCAACCCCCTAAACACTTCAACCAAGTTAGCCAGAACATGTCTCAAGTCATGGACTGAGGTATCTTGTGAATGAGCTTCAAGTTTGCCACTACGCTTTAATCCAATGTATAAAGATATTTTCTTTACAAAAGAAGAACGTTAACTGTAATATCAAAAACAACACTGTTAAATGAAATAGACACATTCATACTGAAGTATATTCAACATACGTCAAGCTTGTCCTCAATGTCCCTGAGCCGCCAGACATCCTTCCCATCCTGTACCTTCAACAAGGCATCCAGCTCAGCTTCTTGAGTCAAAACATTTTCCTCCTCCTGCAGAACAAGATATCTGATCAAAAAACATCACATCCTCAACTTTTACCTAAAAAACTAAACAGAATCGATCGCTGACCTTTAGGATAACATCAGTCCTATGAAGGATCATCTCCACCTCTCTGAGACTCTCCTGCTCCTTCACCTCCCAGTCCTTTAGAGAGACATCCAGCACACTGAAAGATGTTAAATACTAGTTAGTTAAATACTTTTTTTAGAATTTAATATTGTTACTCTAGTCTAGTTCACTGGATAAAGAATTGTTTAATGGCTGATTTTAACAATCATTACATAGTTTCTGACTTCCCATCAATTTTAGGTACATAGGAGAAGGTAACAGAATTGTTAAGAAAAGTCAAAATCCTAAGCTCTGCCTGCAAGCAGTGAAATGTTTTCAGGTATGGAGGTGAAAAACAACAGCTCTCAGGTAACGGGTCATAATTTGAGGTAGGCCATTTTCATCAGTTGGACAAAAGTTAGCTTTTTGTTCAAATGATCACCTACGGGTATTGTCCAGACAAACTTGGACGATTTCCAAATTGGTAAGTACACTGTACTTTTATATAT